AATTATAAGCAACTAACCGGAGACAGATGGACAGGCGCTTCGCAGCTGGGATGGAGCGCCTGTAGTTGGTGTCCAGGCAGGAGATCCACGCACCGATACGGGCCAACAGGTCCTCAAACTGGGCCAGCGTCAGCCTGAAGTACCGCTGGAAACGACCGTCATCCAGACGCAGCTCTTGCAGGAGGTGATGATATTCACCCAGCTGTGTGCATTTCTGGAGGATATTGTGAACCCAGACACGGTGGCGTTTGGGTCTCCGATCCAAATCAGATGTCCACAACAGATAAAGAGCAGCTATGGTAGTTAACTCAACCATGGTTGACGAGAAAATAGCGAGAGGTGAAGAAAATTGCGGGAGGAGGGTTGCGTCATCGCGATTGAAGCGATGAAGCGATGAAGCGATGATCAAAAAGGTGACATTTGTGATCAAGCGACGCGATATTCACACTCTACACGTGATGTGGCAGTGTTGGCAGTCTTATTCAGCTGCATAAGTGTCGAGGACATATGTGTGGCAGTGTCGTGGTGCTTTGCCCATTCATATGGTTCTGTCTCTTGGACATGTCAACCTCTTTTTCAGTAGCTGTGCTCATTGGAAGGGTACAGGACTTGCACCTGCTCCCCTCTGGGCATGATACACCAATATGGAAATGTAGTGTGCAGGGTGTCTGTTGCTTGTCTTTCAACTGCTGTCAATTTAGGCCATTGCTCCACACAGTTTGGTAGCTTACCACCCTAGTTTGTTGTGGCCCCATACTTCTCAACTGCAGTCAAGCTGTGGTGGCTAACCTTTAGCTGGACAGGATCAGTGTGGCTGGATCAGTGTTATGTCATGACAGGGCGTTCATTCATCGGGCCCCACCCACTGTACCCATGGAGTCCACTAGAGGGCGGAGCCTGCATGAGGTACTGTAGAAGGAAGACTAAAATATTGCAACTGTAGTTGCATTAGCACAGGTGGAGCCCTCTACCTGAGGGCCTTGTTGCTCCTACACTGCTTGTTTAAGAGGGTGTAGGGTGGCTAACAGCCTTGTGTACTGTCTTTATAGACCCTTTTAGGGCCAACGTCACAATGACATCAGTTTGTTGGCTGGAGACAAAACTTATCACCATATAGGACTGTAGACAACATAGGAGTCTTGAAATGCCATCTTGTTGTGTTATTGGGAGCCAGAATAGAAGGAGTCAGGGCTCAAAACTCAAATTTTATGCATAGCAATGCCCGTCAACAAGACAACTATCGTTAAATGCAATAAGATGAAAGCACTGGATGGAGGTGATCATCAAAAATGCTCGCATGTCCAGCACACACTTCATATCAGGTTATGGAAATAGTATTTACTGTTGAAGGGATGAATAACATTACGTGTTTTAGGGATTACCATGTCCACATTATCTGAAATTAGGAAGGTATTTAGAGGAATATTAGATTTCTCCGTAACACTAACTTTTTAGTGAATTAGCTAACATTACCTTAAATAGCAAAACAAACGCTCTGTATTTATGAACGGTCCAGTTTGTGCCAGAGTGCACTCCAACACTCGTAATTAGTATTTCTGAATGCACCACTCGTATCATATTCCTCCATTGTCTAAAACAGGGTAACAGAACTTGCTAGCTAGCGCTAACTATTGTCTGTGGAGAATTGTTTTGCCTTCAGCTAAGCCCCGCCCAGCCAAAAACATCATTCTGTTTACTTACAGTAAAAGGGTCTATACTGAGGGGTCTGCACATATTCATATGGGCACATCATAATAGGCCAGTTACATGGCCAATCAGGATGGTTTGTTGTAATTTTGTTAAAGAAGTAAGAGGACCTGGCCTCTTATACTACTTTTAGTATATATTTCTTATAGTTTGTAATGTGAAAAAGTGTTGCACTGGCATCATGTCTGATTTTCAGGTTGTGTGATGAGATCTATCCCCTGCAGCACTCCTCTAAACCTAACAGGTGCGTATCACTTTAATAACAATACATGCAAAGCTGTTCTTGATTCTATAAGACATCCAAAAATCAGGAAAGTCAGACTAACTTGCAGCATGTCTTGGCAATACGAGAAAAAATATGATAAAACGCAGACAAACAGAGTGAAAATAGAAAATGACAGTCTGGTGGTGTCATATGAAAATCTGAAAGATCTTGTGTCCACTTATCAGACTAACAGTGCTGATGTCTTTGGGTTTGTGCTTGTCTAAAAATCAATAGCGGCTGAGTTGGAACACAAAAAGAGCAGTTAATCACTGGGTGTGACACCATCAGCACACTGTATGGGATCGGCACAATTATGCCAGTCACTCATATCTACTTTTTTTTTCTCTCACAATGTTGCAAACAACTTTCTCTGTGTCACTAGAGGTGAATGAGGTTGTGAAAGCTTTCAAGGGCGTGAACATGTGAACATGATAAATGTTTGAATTTGTCAAATCCTCAGAAAGTAACAGGTGACCTGTTAAGTATTCTAAAAATTCAGAGCTGTATACGTTTGCATGCTGTATCTTGTGTGGGCCTATGACACATACATGTACAGCTGCTGCACTGCTAATGCAGGAGGACAGTTAAAACTGCTGAATGAAAGATCTGTTTGTCCATAAAACCCCCTAAATGTTTGTAAGGAATCAGTGTGAGTACTAAATTGACCAGAACTAAAGACAGCCATGTATCATGTTGTTCCTTGATCCAGAACAAATGAATAAAACTAAAGCACCCTATATAGAGAGTATTCTTTTGTCTGCAGTATGACTGATACATTTATTCACCACATAGCACCCTCAAAAATCCTGCATGTTGGCCCATACACTATTTTTTGCTGCAGTAACAATCCCTAAATGCAGAGCATCAAATTTGACTTATTAAATACAAATAACAGTTTACATTATTAATGATAACAGCTGTCAGTGATGAAGCAAAGTTATGATGATTCATAAGTGTCCGAAGTAAACTATTGAGTGTCAGTGCATACAGCATGGTGATTATTAAGTGAATGACAAATACAGCCAATGTCTTATTTATTGCCAAACCACATTTGACATAAAAATACATTATGACATTTTGATCATTATTATAATTAATATTATTATAACAACAATGCTTATTGTGTCACTGGGATCATTAGGCAATGAACACTGTAACAGCTCGCTAGTCCAGTGCTAGCTAGCTGCTAACAACAGTGGCCGTGTGTCTCAAATCACATACTTCCGTTAGTACACTTCCATGTAGTATACTATGTGCACTATGTACTTATTGGCATAGTGCGCGAATTTCAACAGGGTAGTGTTGTCTCAAACCAAGCACGGCCGTTGTGCACTTACTGGAAATGTGCAGCTGTTAGCTAGTTAGCAAACTAGCATTAGCATTCATGTTATTGTTCGTGGTACCAAATCATTAGACTACTAAATTAACCCAATACTGCTGGCTTATATCCAACAACAGTATAGTGATGCTTAGTGCAAAAAACACATATAGGCTATAACTTACATTTGTACAATGCAGCGACGTTCACGATCACACATTCCTCTGCCGCCACTTCCAGTTTGAAAAGTGGTCCCTCCCCTTCCGCTACGTAGCCAAGATGGCGACCATTGAGGGCGAGACGTGTCCATAGTTTCACACTCAACTTCTTGACCATTTTGAGTGCACCATCCAGGTACTCATAGTGCACTGCATTTTTCCATACTTCTCAGTGTGAACCTTATTTTTTACACAGTCTATGGTGTGAACGCACTTATGCACTCAAAATATTTAAGTGTAAGTACAGAAGTAAGCGATTTGAGACACAGCAACTGTCTCTGGTGGACATCTGGACACAGAAACACAGGTGTAACTCATTAATAGTGACTACTTTTTGACTACTTTTAGGTGTGAAACATGTGCAATGTGACATGCAGATCTCACTGGAACATGATGATCACATAGACATACAATCACATACACTATATAATTGTTCCCAATTTTTACATGTTTAAAGTAAAGATTTATGACTTCTTTTATGCACACAAACAACTTATTCCTCTCAAATTTTGGTTCCATATCTGTTAAAATCCTTCCAAGATAATCCATCCACCTGACAGGTGTAACATATCAAGATGCTCATTAAACAGCATCACACTAACAGGCACCTCTAAAATCTGCAGTTTTATCATGAAAACTATGTCTCTGTGTATGTTGTTTTGCTTGTCTCACTCTGTTTTACTTCGATTATTTTCTTATTGTTGGCATTGTTGCCTTCTCTGTGTTTAACATCAACTATAATCTCATGTATTTACAAGTAATTGTTTATTAATACATATTGTCCCATTTTTTAAAAATAAATAAATCAAATAAAAAAAAGACTTAACATTTTCCATCACTAGCACAACAAAAATGCTTTTTTGTTGTTTGTTTGTTTGTCTTTTTGGTCACAGATACATCAAGACAGTTTCTGCTAGTTTGTGCAGAAGTTGCTGTGCAAATCAACTGTTGCATCAACTGTCCGGGTGGCTGGTTTCAGATGATCTTGCAGGTGAAGATGTGGATGCCAATGTAACACTCTCTCAAACATTGCGACCTCTGTGGCATTGTGATAGATTTTAGAGAGGCCTTTTATTGTGACCATCACAAGGCACAGCCCTGTTATAGTAATTATGCTGTTATATCAACATGTGGTCACACCTTACAGGTGGATGGGTTGTCTAAGTGACAAAGGAAAAGTGCTCACTAACAGATAGATAGATAGATAGATAGATAGATAGATAGATAGATAGATATGTGGGTGTGTATTCATAGGCATGTAGGCATTTTTTCTGGTACAAACTGGTCGATACAATATGTTTCTCTTTTCTTCCATACTTTTGTAAGTACACCATTTCTCAACAGGCTACATGGTTAACATATTTGAGTGTAGCAGTAGGACATCTCTGCACACACTGCTGTGTTCCTGTCCTAAGGGTGTGTGTGGGGGGCGTGGAAACTCCCTTTCATAAGCCTCCTCCTCGTCTCCATCAGCTCAGTCTATCCAAAACTCTTGACGAAGCTGCTGGGACTCTATCGATTCGCTTGATCCTGGGACTTCTTTGCAGTCATGATTCGGGTTTCTTTGCCCCTGTGTATCTTACTGTTTGCGGTGAGTACAGAAGGAGTTTTCTGATTCTTAAATGTTGTGTGTTTCTACTGTTACAGACTGCAGTGTGTTTTGGAAAGTGTCTTGTTAACCATCAATGCCACCAGATTAAAAACCTGTTCAAATAATACTGTGTTGATGAAACCCTGAGTTTTAATTTGTGTACTCTTTCACTCAAGCTAGTTGTTTTATTCAAGCCAACATTTGCTGGCTGCCTTGGCAACACAGAAATGGTATGACCTGTTAGACAGAGACAAGTCATCACTTCTCGTTTCAACAACTATCCTATGTCTCATGTGAGCTTGTCTACATATAGGCTAGAGTTTAAGGTGATCATCAGTCTCGAAAAATTCAAGGCCTACAACCCTGCTGTGAATCTTATTTTCAGCAAACAGAAATACTGAAGATGCATGATCATTTCATATTTTTATACTGTACACTTTGATATGAATTATAGCTTCCCTCTACTTTTCTATGAAATCATGATCTTGTCATATCAGTAATTATGTGTTTAGGGATGAGATTTTCTTTATGGATCATAAAAATGCATTCATAATTTGAAGACACCTCTTGATCTCTTGTGATGTCTTAAAAACTTTAAATTGTTTTCGTTCAAGCTCAATTATTTGGCCAACCATTTTAATCAGAAAGTCAGTTCAGCCACAACAAGAGTTAAGTTGCCCTCGGCATTACAGTTTCTAAACTAAGCCAGACTGACCACAGTAATTATTTTTATTAGTTTTTTATTTAGTTTGTTGTGGTGTTGCTGACTTAAATCAAGACCTATTTCAGACTGAACAGTTGAGGGCTTGTTGGTGCGAGTAGCGTGCAAGTACACTCAAAACAACTACTGACTAATTATTCAAGTGAGGGAAGGACTGCAATGACATTTTTCAGATGAACAATAAAGACAAATATGTTCTGTGTGCTCAGCAGTTTTTCATACATGTGATGGTAGAAGGTGCTGGTGAGTCAGGCTTCTTTCATCATAGTTCATCTGTTACCTTGACATGCCCATGCATTTACTGTACAGTTGAGGATTAGTTAAATCTCCTAACAGTGGTAGGGTGTGTCAGTCTCCCCACTGAACACAAGCAGCAACATAACCTCCCAGGTGGATGCTTTTAATCACAGTGTCTTAAATCATGCTGTGTTTTTTATTAAACAGGTCTAAATACAAACTTTCCAGAGGAGAAGAAAAAACACTAATGCTTAGTTGTAATAACATGTTAACCTCAGTATCTGACAATTATGATATCCTCAACTTGGCAGAGGACTGGCAATAATGTTGGCTCAAGACTAGCTTGCAGAGGGATCACACCAGCCACGATACTGTGATCCGCAATTTAAAAGGAATGTGGGCCAAAGGTGTAAACAAGCCCTCAACTGTTCAGTCTGAAATTGTTCTTGATTGAGGTCAGCAACACCACAACAAAGTAAAATAAAATAGTAAGAAAAAAATTACAGTGATCAGCCAGTCAAATTATAGCTGGCTCACCTCTGCCCCCTTCTTCCAGCCCCCTTGCTTGGACCACGCCCATCTTGGAGCGTGCTCTTCACTGTGATCTCAACTATGCACGTGTAAAGTTCCGTGACTGCATCTTGTATGTTTGTGACACAATCACAGTGACAAATCTGTCCTGTATAAATCTTTCTGTATGAACACCAAAATATTCAAAACCATTTTTATTGTAGTTCCCGCTACAATAGGTGTCTCCAGGACAACATTTTGCCATGACTTACGAGGTGAAAACACCAGCCCTGCTGTCGCAGCTGGCAACAAATTGATTTTATGTAAAAGTAATCACCATAATATGTCATACAACTAAATAGGCTGTATAGCCAGCTCAGTTTGCTCACATGAGGTTAACCTCGTAAACCAAAAGAAAGTAAGAAAGGCTCATTCTACTGTATGTCACACTCTCCAGCAGGCTGCACTGTTGGCTGAACAATGGGAAGCCAGTTAGATCGCGATGCATTTACTGATAGAAGAACCATGTAAATTCTATTTTCCATCTGCATGGTTTGACTTCGGGCCTACAATGCGAGCATCCAGTTCTAAAAAGTGTTTGAATAAGTCATAAAAGTTGGATATTTTACGATTTTTGAGAATTACCTCTTCTTCATAAAGTTTTGATTCTTTGTATAATTGGTTGCTAATGAAAATTACAAACTGAATAAGATGGTATGGTAGCAATGGCAGCTAATGAAAAAGACAGCTCAGTGTTTTTTAACAGTAGTATCATCATTTTTAATACGTAGATTGCTATCCTTGACCAGCCAAACTGGCTTTAGCTGGTCACGCTTGCAACTCTTCTGGCACCCTTTACCGACCATCATGTGGATACACTAGTATTCTTTCATCAAGCAGCAAAAGACACTAAAAGGCCACAGTCAGTACACTCTGAACAACAGTTCAGCCCCACCCTCTCTCTCAAACTGTCAGGTCAAATTTCAGCAAGACTGAACTTTACATGAGCAGCAGGAGGTGAGATGGGATGCAAAATGTCAGACCTCTGCTCAGGATTGTCTGGGCATGTACAGACTGTGCTTGAGTGACATCTTGCTGTGTGTGTGTTTTTTTCTTTTGTTTTGTTTTTTTTCTCTTGTTAGACTGGGAAAATTTTGTTTCATTCTTTTGAGGATATGAAGTTTCATGCCACATAGTTCCCCCAACTTCAAAGTGGATAGAGACTTAATCAGTCAGAATAACTTGAAACACCTATGTGAGTTGATTGGGATGACACAACTGCAAATCTTCTATGTTTCATTGAAAATAGACATAATAAGGGTCTTTAATAAGTAGCTCTATAACAGGAATAACTCCCGTCAAAAAGAAATTGGATGTGATATCTGTAATTCAACATCAGTGGACAAAATGTGTCACCTCATTACAAAATTAATTCAAGCAGCCAGCAACTGATGACTCGGCTACAGGTCAGACCCATGAAGGGCTGAGCAGGAGGCTGGCAACAGGAAGGAGGACTGGAGGCTGGCAACAGAGCTGCAGGACTGTAGGCCAGCAGCTGGAAGACTCTCAGGTTAGATGGTGGAGCCAAGGAAACAGGATGTTGCTGACATAAGGCCACACTTAAGAAATGATGCAGTCCAGGACCTGGGTGACCACTGCAGCTCAGGAGGAACGTGTGCCAGCCAGACTGGCAACTGGGGATGAGGAACAGGTGTAAGCCAGACCGCCGAGTGGGAAGCAGAAATGGGTGTCAACTGGACTGCCGACGGGGAAAGAGGAACAGGTGTCACCATACGGTCACCAGGAGAAGGTGTCACCCAGGCCACCAACTGGGGACCAGAAACGTGTAGACCAGACCGGACTGGAAACCAGGAACTGGTGTCGTCCATGTTGATTAGAAGGGAGGAGCAGGTGTTGGCCGGGCCACCTACTTGAGACCAGGAACAGACAAGACATTGGCTTCCACAACCGACTTAGGAACTGACTCAGGAACAGACTTGACATCGGTCAAGATACTCAACACATCGGCAAGGACCTCAGACCCAAAATCAACAGAACATTAACCAGGATGACCAACTCAGAAACCAGTCCAAGGTCCATCTGGATGTCAATCATGGTGCTGGGCTTGATTGGTGCTGAGATTGATGCCTTTAAGACCCTGTTTCTTTCTAGGGGCTCTGGCACCCACATAGATACCTTAGGGAGATGGCCTGGGGACTCCCCAGGAAAGAGGACTGCTCAAGGGTCTCATGGTAAGGGTTTCAAATGAGGCTAGCCCACTTAAAGGAGCCACGTGGTGTGCGGGTTGGGACGATGTAACTCATATCACATACTGACTTTTTTAACTCCACAAAGACACTACGACAGACCTTCTTGTTGAGATTAGCCGATGTGCCACCATCCTGCTCTCAGTAATAGTGACAGCACAAATGAATATGTAAAGACAGTGATTATTTGCTCCCAATACCCATATTTTGTACCTCCGTTTTGGTACAATTGTATTCCATGCAGGGATATCTGACACTCCAACCTTAAGTGATATGTGGCTGACTTAACATGTATAGACCATGGCTTTATTGTAAACTAATTACATATTGTGTTACAGCTGCAAACTATTGCTGTGGTGAAGGCCAACTCTGGAGACAAGCTGATAAGAAGAAAAAGAGTATGGCTTCCCCCAACAAAAAATCTGACAGAAAATGTAGACTACACTAAAGAGCGCTCCGTTGCCTGGGTGAGTCATTGGTCTTTAATTTCAACTCTCTGTTATGCTACTGAATAACTTTGGCTCTGAATATGTAAAAAGGGACCTTTACTGATACCTTGAAACAAAAAGTTTGTATGTTACCTTCCAGGACACCTGACTGAAGAAGCCAGGTAGTACCTTCAAGTGCCCAAATGTAACGATAACTGCTGCTGTAAAGAAAAAGTCATGTGTAGAAGAACCTGTACAACCTAATACCTAGTTTTTTCTAACATATTATTCTCTTCCCTGTTCGCTGACTAAGTGCCTACCATTCTGTATGATATTTGCTCTGTGTTAAGACAAACTTTTGACCTTTGTAGTCACTGAAACCTCGTGATAAGCCCAGCACACAACCCATTGTTAAAAGTTAGTCTTGATGTAAGAGTAATAATCCTTCCTCTGAATGTTGATCTTCAGAGCTACAGCTTTGTTGTAAACTTCTGTCTTGTTTGACTGTGTAGGTCATCTGTCTGAACACGTTTATGAATAACAAAAGTTAAATGTTGACGATCCAATTTAAAACATTTCAAGGAGGAACATAATAGCAATAATTATTGATTAAGAATTGAAGGTTTGGAATTGGTGAAATTATCTCTTAGAGATGGGGACCGTTTTGGATTTAGAAACTGGATGCAGCATTATATTCAGGCCTAAATTGTTGCATTGAACATTTATTTTAATTCAGAAAAATATTGTATAGTGTGTTTGTTTGAGTTAGTAATTAAGTTTACCTTTATTAGTTTTATCCCTAATCTCTAAATGATTTATTACATCCCACCTCTGATCCCAATCACCTAATTACTATATAGTCTCGCCACCAGACAATCAGAGATCTCCGCCTTCTGATAGTCTGGGGACACTCCTTTCTAAGGTGTGTTTAACACACCGGCGAAAACGGCCGGCAACAAAACGCCTCTTGCATTTTTGAAAAGGACACGCCTTCTCGGAAATGTGCGCTCCCCCTTTTCTCGCCCGCAAGGAAACAAACACACAGAGAGCTTGAAAATGGATGCCGAGAGATTAAACTCCATTTTATCAAACGTGTGCTCATCCATAAAAAAAATATTTTTTCCAGCGGATGTCTTAGTTACAACATGATTGAGCTAACTGGAGTAGTTTCATGTCGTATCCGACAACGGGAGGCTTTTAACAGATGACGTCCGTTAGCTTTGCTGCTAGTGTTAGCTGTCCCTGTCAACTGTTGCTTTCTAGACATCGTGATTTCCCAAAACTGAATAAATACCACACATAGCAACACAAAACTGCTTTGCTAGCTCAATCATGTTGTAACTAAGATATCCGCTGGAAAAGATATTTTTTTCACGGACCGTTTAATGAGTTATTACCTATGACAGACACCGCTAACGGCTAACAGGGCTAACAGCTAACGGTTAGCCCAGCTAAACGTGCACACAGAAATACTAATGTTTGTTCAATCATTGTGTTTATAGACTTTACAAACATCGGATTAGTCTAAATGGTGGTACAGTGATGTGAAAAATGTGGTACATAGGCTACATATATATATATATATATATATATATATATAGCTAAAAGCTCTGCTGGTTTTCTACCCGGACTATAGAGAGAATCGCCGTGTTGTTTACAAGGCGATTGCCTCTATAGTCCGGCCGGACGGATGAGTCATGGCCTTGTAAAAGATTATGTTTGTTTCTTTTAGTTGGCGAGAATGTGTCGCCGCAAACGCGACAAACATTTGACGGCGTTTTCTGCGAGCACGGCTGAACCATTTTGTACCGCTACACGTGTTTCTAGTGGGACTATGTTTACAAGCACAAGACTTCAGTGAGCCACTGAAGGACCACCCTGCAGATTTACTATTGGTTCTGCAATGTAGGGAGTTTTTTTAAACTCTGAAATTGTATCCGCCCATCTAAACACAAAATCAGGGAGAAAGTCATCAGTCTTTAGTTAAGCAAAGCGTCTAAAGACTGACTTGTGAGTCTAATTACTATGAACCACTTTATCATTGTGTCAAAAGTTTGGCCTCAGGAAAAAAAAAAAAAAAAAAAAACAGAACATGAGCATGCATTGACCTAAGTCTCTTAAATCTAAATGTGTCTACTGATGTCATTTTAATTTTAGCAAATGGTCAGCACACACTGCTTACCCTGAGAAGAAAGTCCTGCACATACATATTTTAAGTTTCATGTCCACAAAAATGAAAAACAAAAACAACAAATTGATTACTTAATCTGTAATAAGAAATAAAGAAACCTATCAGTCATTACAGGGGTGGAACTGGAACATTTTCAGCATTCTCAACAAAGATGGCACCATTTTACCACAGATAAGCATGTACAGTATTTGTAACACAAAGTTCTCCAAAGGGGAGCTCAAGTATCCAGAAAGTTGGAGACGGTAAAATACTGAGAAGGCTAGCGTTCAGCAATAAATGATGGTTTAGAGTCACCACTTATTTTTCTCAGTATCTAATTTTCAAACTTTGTTTGATGTTTTTAGTTGTTGCTTCTTGTGCACTGAAATGTATGTGAATGTGTTTAGCTGAAACAGCTCTATGTATTGTGTTTCAGATTCATTCAGATTATGATGATGGCAAAGGGAATATTGACTACTCTCTAGAAGGCATCGGTGCAAGCCAATATCCCTTCCATGTGTTTGTAGTCGACCCTAAAACTGGATACGTTCGTGTTACCAAGGTGCTTGACAGAGAGCTCATCGATATGTACAATGTGAGTGATGACAGACTCTTTTATTCTACTGTACTTTTTGACTTTGATGCAAATTTTTCCCTTCTTGAGATTCAGTGATTGATGCTTTTCATACTAAATATTTCCTACTAATATTTCCAGCCATTTGCTTCACATTATTATCACAGGCTATTACGTTTGTAAGTTCACCTGCTAAGACAAATAATATAGACAACAACATGTGAGTTTTCTGTTTTAGCTGTCAGGTGTTGCTAAGTACAGGAATGGCATCCGAGCAGAGGACGACGTTCCCGTACGATTTAAGGTTATAGATCAGAATGATAACGCTCCTGTATTTGGAGTCATCAAGCCGGGGGAGGTGAATGAGCTCAGTGCTAAAGGTTTGTGCTTCTGCTTTTGTGTACAATTCTCACAAATGTCTGACCTGTTATGTGATGGCAAAGTAATCTTTATAAGCTTAATTAAATCATTAACAAACAGTTTCTGCCTGTATTTCCTTTTTGTTACATCTGTTGAGTTGACATACAGTTTTAATCACCAAAAACACTGTATGTATCCTTGAGATCCTACAGACATCTGGAATGTGTTTAATTCCTCCTAAAACCTTTGCAGAGCTGATTTTTTTTATTTTAAATCTTGTACTCTTTACATCAATGTCTGTTCAGGCAGAGTGTACCCAGCCAGTGTCAGGTGGGATCAGTGAAAGCGGTTATCAATAATGGATGGATGGATGAATGGATGGATGGATGGTTTACACTGATGTATAGCTTGCAGTCTTCTCTGCCTTTGTTGGCACATTGCTGTGTTTCTTTAACCACCAGTCGATCAGGTGAATACTAGGCAATCAGTCACACAAATTAAGTGGTTACTTTTGCCACAGACAAACTTAGATTGTTTTTATAGGTGGCTGAATTGTTTCTTATTGCCTTGTTAAGTAGAAGTCTCCTTCTGTAACATCACGAGATGTCACAAGATGCATCTTGTTGCAGAAAGATAACAGTGGAAACTTGCATGAGATCTGGAGAGAGATTAGTAATCACAGTAGTTCACAGAAAATGTAGTTTTGTGTTATCTAAAAGATATTTAATGTCATGGATGATTATTTACATAATTTCAATAATGTGGATGAGGCCTTTGAATTTGACTGCAGCCCGTATTTATTTGAGTATACAACAACGGATGAGAAGAGAGAGAGACAACAGGCAGCTGAGGGTGACCTGCAGGACATGAGGCTGGGAAACTGGTAGTGTACCTGTGAGTGCTGTGACCCTGTGCCCACTGAGGAAAAATGCTTATGTTGTAAAGAGTGGTTTGTTTTTGCACATTTCCAAACTCTCTTAACTTAACAAAGTTATCCTTTAAGGTCACAATAAAGTGTGCCTTACTGTTTTTTCTCTTTATTTTTCCTAAACTGGCAGAGGCTGTTGAGACCAGTTTCTCAAAGGTATTTCAGAAGGTTTCTCCCTAACATTAACGGTATTAGATTTGGTGGTGGTCCTTCAAGTACAAGCCATTTAAGCCCCTTTTTCCTTTAAAGTTAAACATAGTCATAAAATCAGCTTTGCAAATATTTTATTACAAAAGAAATGTGCTTATCACATTTGTCAGGGCTCAAGGATACAATATGTGATGTGTTTTGCTGAGAAACACTGGAGACTAGCCTAACTTAACATAACGAAACACTAAACATAACTTTTTTTGTTTACAACAGAACAACACAAGACATCATTAAGTTTTCATGTAATGCTGTTCTTACAGACACTTCAGTTATGAAAATAACTGCAACTGATGCTGATGAACCAGGGAATAAGAACTCCAAGATCGCCTACAGCATCGTAAATCAGAACCCACCTGATGACATGTTCTACATGTCCAAGGATGGGACCATCTATGTCAAAAATTCTGCCCTGGACAGGGAGGTACAGTATGAATTGCATCCACATGGCCTGTGCCAATTCCAGATAATTAAAATTCTGCACTACATGGTTGGCCCCATATATCAATAAGTGCTATTCCATTAACCCTAGAAATGCGTAAAACCTAAATATCGCAATAAAAAACTGGTAATGGAAACACCTACATTTCGAAAAAAGATTTACGCTCTCATGAGATGGTTTTTCAGACGTGTCGATATAGAAGTATATCGCAAAAGTGTAATGGAAACACTTTTTTCGCAAATATACGTCACCGGACATTCAAGTCGTGAATTCCTCGTTCACGATCCTCTCCCAGAAATCCTTTATCCGTGGTCGCTGCCACACATAAGGACTTTGCCTTTGGAATACCACTCACTCTTTTTGTCTTCGGTTGTAGACTACTGCAACAGCAGCAGTGGCAACCGAGATGATTGTTCCAGCTCGCAAGAGATTTGGAATGTCCATCTTACTTCCGCAAACAAAGTGGAGTCTCACGGGACGAGATTTTACAAGAATTATGGTTCATTCTCAAAACACCTTTTAATGGAAACACCTGTAAGTCGCAATTGTACTTTGTCGAAACTTTTGAAATATCGCAGTTATTTTGTGCAAAACTGTAATGGAAACACACTCACTGATTTATGAGCCTGAATGCAGCCTGAGATCCTCCAGCAGAGGTCTGTTGGTAGATACTCCATCAAGGCTAAAAGCAGAGGAGATGGAGCCTTTGGAGTCTAGGCCCCACAACTTTGAAATGGCATTCTGGAGGCGTTCAGGCAGGCTAGCTCTGTTCCTTCTTTCAAATCTCTCTTTAAAAAGCACTTTTTCAGAATTGCTATCTCTTGAATTGATTATTCTTCCATTTTAATTTACATGTTTTTATTCTTTTTACCTCGCTTGTCATTAATATTCCATAAGTTCTACTTTTATCTATTTTTACCTGGTTATTTCTCTTGTTTCTATGTCTCTGTAGAGCACATTGTTACTTGTTCTTGAAAAGTGCTATATTATCTTATATGTTGTATTGTATTATGTCAAAGTTGCGTGTACAGCTTGGTACACTGCCCCAGAGTGACTAAAAAGTTCAATTAATGCAGCTTTAAGGTAACATTAATTAAAGTAATGATGTTTGCAGGGACCTGTAGGATTTCTTATCAATTGTTTGTGTCTAATTCATACATGCTACATACAAGGCAATTAGCTTATTTCCATTACTATGTCATTTGCTTTAGCTGAGATTCACTTGTTCTTGCACTTCATTCATTTACATTTGATTCAGGGGATTCAGATAAATTCTCAAATGACTAGAACAGTTAACAAAAGTTTCTTCAACAGGGCAACACCTTCATGTGCAGAGACTTCTCCTCTAAAACACATATTGCTGCTTTGATTGGTCTTAAATCATTTGACATACATGTACGTGTCTTTGCCTGAAACATAATATTGAGCTGCAGAGCAGAGAACTTAAGTTATTTGTGGCCAAAATAGTACTTAAAGGTACTGTCCTATACCATACAACGCCTTGACATTGACAAGTCCATTGGCTGTGAATCCTAATTTGTAGAAACTGAAGCAAACAGGAGCATTGCTACTCTAAAAACCAAGTAGCAAACTCTTATTAGTATAATTCAAAGTTCACCTTGTAGAATTCATACCTTTGGCATTAGTACCATGTCACAGCAATGTGTGATAGATTGTGATACAGTCCCTGTTTTCTAATTTCAGAAAGTGGATCAGTACACTCTAACGGTGAAAGGTCAAGATTTAAACGGTGAACCAGGGGGACTGAGTGGAATCACCACTGTTACTATTAATGTCATAGATGTGAATGACAACCCTCCTACTCTGGAAAAAGAGAAGGTAGGTTTCTTTTTTATCCTCTTCTATATCAAGAAGTTCTACTGTAAATTGGTGCAAAAAGAAAGAGTTCCCATGATCACACATTGAAGTCAAAGAAATGCTGATCAGCAAATGTGTAATTAAAACAAATACTGCAGAAATGAACTCTGTTACTTTCATCTCATAGTGTGTTTTACTTGCAGTATGAGGGCAGCATTGTGGAGAACACAGATGGCATCGAGGTGATGAGGATCAAATCAAATGACCTGGACCTGAAGGGCACAGACAACTGGGAAGTTGTGTATGATATTGTGACAGGCAATGAGGCCGGGTACTTCAGCATTGAAACAGACCCCAAAACCAACGAGGGCATTCTAATGCTCGACAAGGTACTGCTGAATGAGCAAGACAGTTGTGTTTCTGTAATTTTATGTGTTGGTCTTTTGTAGGAAAAATGTGGTGCAATGGTCATGCTCCCATACACAGTGACTGAACATTAGCAACTTGCCCATCATGAAAAAGTAGTGCCTCTGAAACAAAGGTATACAGTGGGATTTGCTTTTATCCCTTTTGTCCCTGTAAAACATAAAACGTTCTCACATGGTAAGTCACAGAGTCAGTGTTAACCCAAGGCTGTCATCTGAGGTGTCATTTTGGCCTGTACGGGAGGTAAGAGGAGGAAGCCCCATCAATTTGCAATTTATTTAAAGTAAATTGTTATACAAAAATCAGCATGAACTGACTGTCATCACCCAGCGGTGTGTGAGAACAAACATTCCATAGAAATATTTTCTGCCTCCGATCCAGGGCTGCTCACAATGGCAGTCCTGTTTCCACTCACTGTTGGAGGATGAAGCAGTTAGAAGATGGACGGAAAACTTGCCACAATAGAAAAAGTGGTTACACAACTCAGCCCTGAGCAAGAGTGGCTGTTCTCATAATGTATGCTCCTCAAGGTTAACATAAGTGAGGACCTGACCTGGACTCATCACACAGACAACAGCACAAGGATAGCAAGACAATGGGTCTTCTTCCTCCACAGGCTGCGGAGGCTCAACGTGGACTCCAGGATACTCTGTAATTTAAGTACATCCTTAAGAATATCCTAACCTGCTGCACCCCCGCCTGGTATGGCAGTTGCCCTTAACCATGAGGCTTCACAGAGGATGGTGAAAACTGCCCAGCCAATCACCAGAATGCAGCTGCAATCTACAGAGGAACTCTACACCCAGCGCTGCAGGAAAAAGATCAACAGGGTTATCAGAGACCCTCAGCCCCCCAGCCACAAACTGCTCTGCCTGCTGCTACCTGGCACACAGTACCACAGCATCCTGCAGCAACAGGCACAGGGACAAGAATTCCATTGCCAGCAACTGCTCTTCTGTAATTGTTGTGAAAGTGACAATAAAACCCTTGAAAACTGAAACTTGGGCATTCTCCACCCCTTGAATGCACCTCAAGATTGTGTCCTTAAAAACTTAAAACAGAATTGTGATGATGCCTGAAAATGCATTTGTCTTCCTACCAAGAATGTGGACAAAAGCAGCTCTTCTCCCTGCTGATAAAAGCCTGTATGAAGCCCTGCCACCCTCCTATGCTTTCCTCACATTATCTTTCACCTGGAGGAATTTGGGGTTTGCATACTACAAAATATTAAAATCAAAAAGTGATAAAGCAGCGCTATGGATAAGTTATTAGGCTAACTTACAGAAACACTGGGTGCAATAGTCCACGTTCCACCTTCTCTTACTGCCTCAGTCACAGTCTGCCTCCCTTTCAAACACAAACATACACACCTAGGAGAGCACCACAGCACCACTTGTTTCTGTCCTCAACCCGTGTCTTGCCCTGTACCTGGCTGTATCTCGCTAAAAAAGTTCCAGACAGGTCTAGATATTAATCATTCTAGATATCTGAGGGCCTTTCTGCTCGTGTCTTTGAACATAGCACTCAATTGTCAATCTGCGAACACTCAGACATCATTGATTTGCCTCAGATCTTTTGCCAGGAGTTCCAAAAACTGTGACACATTGATGAGTTTACAAGTCGTTTACCAAGAACTAGGCATTAACAGCTTGCCAGAACCTCTTTGAGGCCAACCAAACATCCTTTCCATGGCTTCCTCCGGACAAGTTTTTGCCTCAACTGCAGTCCTTCTCTTCCTGATACTCATCTGCTGTTTCCGGAGATCATCGGGCCAACCAAGCCTGAGAGGACTTCTTGTTCAGCTTGACGGCCTCCCTCAATACCTGTTTGGGTTTACCAGGACCGTGTAGCAGTCCCACCACTTAAGCCAACTCGCTAAAAAGACACACAAGGTCTGCAGGTCTGATGGAACCACGGCAGATTCTATCTCTGACCTTTAAGTCCCCCAGCAGAATTATGGAGTCCCTTGGTGGCATCATCTTTGGAGTATATGCAAAGGATAACAGTCAAGACCTTCCTCTGAGAAACTCTCAATCGCATGAAGATGACCCTGTGATAATGCAGACATAGCAACATTCAGAAGAGGACTGGTGAGAAACCTCACAACCCTTCAACCAAGGGCAACAATAAAAGAGAAAGTCCAGGCCTTAACCAGAACTTTGGTTCCATAGGTGGTATCGTGTGTCATCTGTGTTTGGGAAAGCAACTGACCCTTTCATCTGTCTTCGTAAGTTGTGGGCCCACAAGGTAGTGGCATCCTGTCATGCCTTCAGGCCTAGACTGACATGGTCCCATGGGGATAGGCACAGCAACCTCTTTATTCCAGGTGAGGTAGCTGTTTCAAGAAATTGCCTCTTCAGAATAGCGATTCTCTGAAGGGGTGCCAATGCTTGGAGATGTGGCTGTTCTCAAAGGGGCAATTTACTTGTTTATCTAATGAGTAAAGTTTTCATATTTAGCACTTCTTTTTTATTGAACCATGACAAAACTTGTCTGAAACATGTTTGAGCAGTTCAGCCTTAATACAAACTTTACCTCTAACCTCCAGTCAAGTTTTTATCTCATTAACTCACTTACTTACTCTCATTTAGAACAGATAAAAATGTCTGGCCCATGGAACATTAATTGAACATTATGGTTTTACACAAAACACAGCATCTACAGTTCAGTCCTCATTTATTCAGTTTAGTGAGTCTTTATTTACAAATGTTCATTTGTGTTTATTGTATTGTGCATTTGTGTTCTATTTTACAGGCCGTGAATTATGAGGATGTGAAGGACCTTGACCTAGGAATAGCTGTGAGGAACAAGGCTCCACTATATGATGGAACTGGGGGAAATGCGGAAGTTGATATAAGTTTAAGTGGAGAAGAAGCAACAGGGGCAACTGGGGGAGCTGCAGGGACAGGGGGAACTGCAGGGACAGGTGGAGCTGCGGGAACAGGGGGAACTGGAGGGTCAGGGGGAACTGGAGGGTCAGGGGGAACTGGAGGGTCAGGGGGAACTGGAGGGTCTGGGGGAGTAACTGCCACTGGTGCTGGAGCTGGGTCTGGAGGATCAACGGGGCAAATTGGAACCACACTTAAAACCTATCCAATCAAGATCAATGTGATAAACCAGCCCGAGGGCCCAGCTTTTGACCCAGAGGTCAAAGCTATTCCCATATCAGAGGGAGGCCAGCCCATTGACATCAACAAGGTTATTGCCACCTACCCAGCAATAGATCAAGACACTGGAAAACAAGCTGACAATGTCAGGTCAGTGCCTACGCAAAAACACACACATAAAAGCACCCTCTGCAGTTAAGACTACAATGTTAGTTTAATTTTCTACACTCAATGATAATAACTGATACAGCCTGTTCCTGCTGTAGGTATGCCAAGGGCTCAGATCCTGCCAACTTGCTCACCATCGACCCAGAGACAGCTGACATCAAACTGAAAAAAAGGCCTGATAGAGAATCTCCATACCTGGTCAATGGGACATATTTTGCTAAAGTACTTTGCATTTCAGAAGGTACCCTGTTCTTGCTTCAGATGTTTTATATGTATTACTAGAATCCTAGTGAAAAGTAGCTGGGGGAGGGTGTGAAACATCAAGCTTAAAAGTCCTAACTCTACTAGTGACTTACAGTTTACAGTGTTTACCCCATATGTACAACACTGTAAAAGTGATGGATGTAACAAAAAGACATTTTTGCTGCAGTCTTGCAAAATGTAAAATCTGATCTAAGGATGGCTCTAGAGGAAATATCAGTGTCATTAAAATCTATAAATATTATCCTTTTAGAAGCACAGATGAAAATTTCCATGACATTCTCCCATTAGATCATGAAATTTGCACAATGCTGACGTTTGAATCCAAGAGAAATAAGTAGGATTAGGATTTATCCTCTGGGAACCATTGACATCCACAGCCACAAGAGCAGGGCAAACAGTTGTATACACCTGTTCTTCACTATCAAGGGTCTTTTAACCTGTCTTTGAAAAAAAGAAATCGAAACAAAGGAATGATCTGTTTTTATTTGTTTCTTTTCAACACAGACATGCCTGGTAAAACATCCACCGGCACAATAGCCATCCAGGTAGAAGATTTTAATGACCACTGCCCCACCCTGACCAGTAACGTCGAGACTGTGTGTATCCCACATGATGCTGTTTTGGTGAATGCCAGAGATGATGATTTATTCCCCAACGGGCCACCTTTTGACTTTGTCATCATCCCAGAAGGCACTCAGGGCAAATGGCAGGTGGAGCATTTAAATGGTGAGCATAATACCGATGACTGTTAAAAAGTTGGGTAAAGTAAATAGATGTAAGTAGATATAAAAACATAAAAATAGATATAAAATTAGAACTGGTCATGTATTGATATGAATTGGGGTTTTTTGCCACATAATTTTTCCTTTTTTTCAACAAGGGGACGCCAAAATGAAAAAAAAAAATCAAATTCTGCACGAGTTGCTTCAAGCGTTGCAAATAACAGGTTATGATTGTTTTGACTAGTACACCTTGTTAGCATCTTAGACCAGTGAAGTATCAGAATGTCTGAACCCTTCTTTTTAAATTGTAATTTGGAAAAGACAATTTTAAACTTAAGTCTTTGATCCAGAATACTGCAAACTTTAAAGTAAAGCATATTGGCTTCCTACACTTTCACATTTCTCCCCTGGTTTTGGCAGAAACTGCAGCTATCCTGAGAGCCCAGGAGACCCTATGGCCTGGTGTCTATGAGGTGCAATTTGTGGTGAAGGATCAGCAGGGAGAGGCCTGTCCAGAACCACAGAAAGTCGCAGTCCACGTTTGTGAATGTGAAGATGGGGTGGTGTGTAGGGAAGCCAGCAAAGGAGCAAAGTTAGGACCTGCAGGCATAGGTCTGCTTTTCCTGGGCCTGCTGCTGTTACTGCGTAAGTGATGCTCATTCTTATTAAGGGTCATGTGATCAAACACTGAACAACTTGACTGTGTTAAAGACAATCCCAAGAAAGCTTGAATTTAGTTTAAGTCCAATTTAGGTCTGAGATAAGGCCAGAGCAAATGATTTAAAAGCAAGACAAAAACTAGGTTGCAAAGAATATGCATTTGTTTTTAGGTGAGATAATAGCAAAATAAGGACTGGTATTTTTAACACACTAAACACATAGGATGTTTGTTAAATAACTGTTAATCAGTTGAAGAGTATTACATACTATCCCTTAAATATTTAGCAGTGCCGAGTAAAAAAAGGTGCATCAAGTGGTCATGTCTGTGATATTTTAGATATGCAGGGAAATATCTAAAGTAATATGAAGTAGCAGCTGTGATTAAATAAGGTCTGACTTTGAACTGGCAGAACATCAACACAAAGCCTAGGATGCCAGAGAGATGGTCTTAATACAGGACTCAACATCAAACCCAACTGGCAGATATCAGCTTATCACTGATGTATGAGTATCCACATGTATGTCAGCTGATAAAAACCAATGAGATCTCCATACCGTAATAATGCCTGCAGAGTTGCACAAGCCATGTACACAATATAGCCTTATAATTTATATAGTATTGTTCTTTACAATCACCACAAGACAAATACTTAAGTATGTCATAAAGGCACTTCCTCCAAGCATGAAAAGTGCACTGTCCCACAGACAAGAGATTTTGAGACAATAAAAACTTGGCTTCAAATATGAATAATTTCTGATTTTCCATTACATTAAATATGATTGAATCGACAAGCATCAAATACAGGAAACAACAAACACTTTTATTGTTACACTCAAAAACTCTTTATTTCGATTGTGTATTAAAAGGACCACAAATGTGACACACAACAGTGTGTTTATGTCGGGACTCATCACTCACAGTGGGAGGCAAAATAAGAAAGTTTTCAGTTCAGTTTAAATGCTCCAACAACCCTGAGGAACCAGTAGTTGCAATGAGAACATTAATCTGATCAAAGTCTCTAACAGCCCTACCTGAGATTAATTCTGGGATCCCTTTACCTTTAGATGTAATTGTAGGTTCACCCAGCAGAGGGCAGTAGCAAAATCTAACAACACACACACAGGTGGTCAGACTGTCAGACAGTGAGAAATCAAAAAATGACAGACAAATTACAACATGCAACTCACTCCAGAATGGTTAAAGATACACCCAGTGTTCACAGTAATGAACTACACGGTTGCCTTTTATAAAGGAACAAGCAACCAGTTTTTTTGTGCCAGATAAACTGAAACTGCACCTTCATTTTTAGAGGACCCCAGAGATAACTAAAACTTTGTTGTTGTTTTTACAGTTCTTCTTCTGTTGCTGCTCTTCTGCCAATGTGGAGGGGCTGCAGGGCTGCCAGGGGGCTTTGCTGAGTTGCCTTTTGACACCAAATCACACCTCATTAACTACCACACTGAGGGCCAGGGGGAGAACACGGTAAGATCAACACATTTATCTTTTAAGCAAACAACATTCATTGTTAAGGATAGGAATATTGGCACATATACTGGTCACTTGCTACTGAGATTATGTCTGCTTGAAAGCTGCATTTAGTGATTTTTGACTGTGGGCAGCAGAATAACTGTTGACTATGTTCTAACCTTTGGATCACTGGCTCATTGTAGGAGGTGCCACTACTGAGCATGCCAACGCAAATGGACGGAAATATGGGCAACATAACTATGGGCATGGCAAACAATACTTCAGCAATGCAAACTATGGGAGGTTTGGATTTCCGGAAATCCATCACTTCTATGGATGGGATGAACGGGGCCGGCTATCAAGGAGATTTTACAACTGAACATAGAGAAGAAACATTTGGGATGATGAACCAGCCGAGTGGCAGTGGCTTCTACTCTGAGTTTGAGAGCAGAGAAACAGAATTTTATGATGGCATGGCTCTTCCAGGCTACTTCCTGGAACAGTACTACACTCAGGTGAGGAATCATTTAAATATTTCTACTCTTTATATGTTGATGGTTTTGTCCTTCTGAGAGTAATTATTTTTGGTAGTTTTCAAATGTTGGGAAAATAGAACAATCTAGACAAAAGAGGTGTAGCTGAAAAAGCTCAGCTGAACAAACATAGAAACCTTGGTAATGATTTCCCTTTCCATTTTCAACAGAAGGTGAACAGTGGAAACGAGAATCTTGGAGCAAAGGACAACTATTTGGTTTATGACTATGAGGGCCAGGGCTCTCCTGCTGGCTCAGTGGGCAGCTGCAGCCTCCTGGAGTCTGACAATGACCTGCAGTTCCTCGATGACCTTGGGACGAAGTTCAAGACCCTGGCTGAGTTGTGCGAAGGCAAGAAGATCCCGACTGAAGTCAAACAAGAGTCCACTCCTCTGCCCAGTGCCTCCATTAATACCCAGACCTCAGTATCAAGTTTGATGGCTGCCCAGCAGCTGCCCACTCCAAAGCCGCCCATTCCACAGCTGTCCCCTCCACCCAAGCTGCAGCCCAGCATCACCCAAACAGGGCAAACTCTGGTTAAAGAGACATCTGCGCATACTCAAATGGTGAAAGAAAGCTTTGCCACTTTGAGGGAAGGGATGACTACAGTGAAAGAAGGGATGGCAAATCGAGGTCAGATGCTCCTACTACAGCAGCAGCAGCCTATCTACTACACCACCACCCCCGTACTGCAGCCAATGCAATACATAGTCCAGCCACAGTTTCAGAACACCGTGCTGCTGGCTGAAGCACCAGCCACCAACCTGCAGGGCATGGTACTGGTTAATGGCACCCAGGCTGGACCTGCCCAAGGCATGGTTGTTCAGGGACAGACAATGATGTCCAACGGACATGCCCAAGGCCCCCACATGGTGCTGGTGGAGGGGAGCGGGGCCAACCTGATCCCCACTGGCAACATCACTGGAGCCCAGACCATGATGGTGGTAGGGGACAAGGTCCCTTCAGGGTCAGTGAAAGGCCTGAAAGGGAGCCTTGTGCAGGGGGGCACTCTGCAGCCAAGAGGGCTTTCAGGATCTCAGACAGTCCTGGTGGTCGGCAGTCCAACAAGCAGCGGAGGGCAGCTGGTCCAGGAGGCAGGAAGTCTGTCCCAAATGAGTGACATCTCTGGCTCTCGAAGCACCCTCTACCGCAGCACATCCATTGGTGCCCACAGCAGCTTGATGGGTTCCCCTTCCACCACAGTGAGCACAACCCCCACCTACCGCAAGGTGGTGGTGCAGCAGGAGGAATTCACTGAATGATGATGTCGTAAAAGACTTTTTTTTTAAATGCAATTCAAACTTCTGGCAAAGCAACCTCTCAAGTATTTTCAGGTAATTTGTGCGTTGATGTCAGTTTATTGGTGGAGGGTGTGCTGTAGCAGTGTCACTAGAAGTGAAGCTACATGTATCTGTGTGTTCATTTACCACAGCTTCTCAGTTACACCAACATATGCACCCAAACAGCAAGTTATTGCACTGTAAAACCTAACTTTTTGATTTAAAAAATACATTTATATCCACAGTTTTCTGGGAAGAATATTTTTTACAATATAGACTTTGGATCCAAACACATAATTGCCAAAACTTTACCGAAGGTATTTTTCTTTCCACTGTTGTGTTGTGTTTTTTCTTTTGTGTGTTGTTTGCTTTGATTACTCATTTTGTGTCCTTTTGTCTGCCAGCAGCATGGCAGCATCAGTCTGTTGGTCCACTAATTTGGTCCAGACTGATTCGTCTCAACAACCATTGGATCAGGGTCATGAAATCTATATAGACATTTTTGGAACTCAGAGGATGAATGGATTTGGTGATCCTCCTGAGTAGCGCCACTATGAGGTGAAAGTTTTCACTTACCCTGTTAAATATTGTAACATCTTATAGAAACAGCAAACAATTTAATGGACCAGTAACTTTTATTAGCGCTATTATCAGGTCAAAAATATAAATTTGTCCAATATGGTAAACAGATGGTGATCAAGCTAAACATACCAGCATGTCAGTATCATCACTGTGATCATGTTAGCAAGCTGATGCTAGCATTTAGCTCAAGACACAACTGTGTCTATGAAAAGCCTTACAGAGCAGCTAGCTGCCCAATTATATTAATCTGTATTTTGAATTGGCAGCAACTGTATACCAACTCTGCCACCTGGCTACCGATCCTACTGCTGATGCAACACGGGCTGATACCCATCTACTTTGATCTTATCACGTAGCTAAAAAGAGCAGGCTGTAGCTTAAAGTAGATTAAATGGTTAACAATCTTACATGATACATAAAGCAAGTTAGGATTTGCATGTTTCGGACAACTGAGGCGGCAGCTGCAGCTGTTGGCTGTCTGAAAGCACATTTAGTCTTGCCTTCTATCAGGGCTTGTTTTTCCTTGCAGCATGCACAGTATTTTCTACTGAATTACTTTGTGAATACCAAATACAAATGTAACTTACTTTAATAGCAGCTTGTGATCAATGTTAAATTTTCCTGTCAACATGATCAGTTCTATTATTTTTTCCTAATAATGCAAAAAGCATGGGACAAATGAGTTAGTGAATGTTGCTCAGACCATACTGTGGGTTATGAAGGGGTAAGCTTTGCATATTATTTCAAATAAAGTGTCTCTGTTGTGATATAACAGTCTGTTACTCATTGAGAGGCCATGTTTTATATAACTGGCATTAAAATTAGGAATGGTTCAAATGTGTCACTGACTGTACAGCAGATAATTGGAATGTTTGTTACACCTTGTTTCATTAATACTCCTTATTAGTGATCAGTGTAACAGGCTGTAGCAGTAGTTTATTTTGGTCATTTTCAAACTTATACCAAATATACTTAAGAAAAAAAGAAATTGTAATTAATTGTAATTGTAAATTGCAAAAATTGTAAAAGCTTCTCATCACTGATGAAACCACAGCTTTGCACAAGTAACCTGACCAGCTGTTCAGATTTTTGAGATGTGTGAATTTAAACATGCATCTAATGGTGAGGGAGAAAACACCCACCTCATCATGTGGCTACAGTATAAAATACAGAAAAACATACTGTAGTACACATACTACAGGACAACAAAACCTTAACTAACACAAAGAAAACAAACCAGCGGCCAGATTACAAAGCACAACCAGAATATTTAGAATATTTGATTCAGCACAGTCTTGATTTTAATGCAGTGATTACATGGGTGAGATTAACTTGTTGAAACTGCTCCTGTTTATGAGGACTGTACAGGTGAGTTTTGAAAGAGTGATGCTAGCCAAGCTTACTGTTAGCAATAATTCTGTTAAAGTAGAAACACTTTAAGCAATATGATGAAAAAGTGGGGGTGTTATTAACAAGAACTATCCAAAAAAATTACTTCTGTTCGCTTGCACTTTGGTTTCTTGGGACCCAGCTTGATCTTGACATGATTGATATACTTTTACACAGTTTCTATGTTTATGCAATTTGATTGTTGTTCTTAAATGAGCTACAGTAGGTGTTTTAATGTTGGACAAAAAGGTTTTTTACTAATACAGTCAGGATGCCATGACCTTTGTCTTGTTTTGCTTGTTGTTGTTGTTGTTGTCAATGCCATAAAATGGCAAATCATGCTATGTTCACACGAACTGAAACTCTAAAAGACTATTGGACTGAGCAGCAAAAAAAAAACAAAAAAACATGTACTTTGGATTGATCACTGCCACGTCATTGTATTGGTGTCTTGTAAACCCATGGGGGTTGGGCACATTTTTGTGTGCAAGACAAACAAAAGACAAATCGTCATCATCATCATCATCATCATCATCATCAAAAGCAATTCAGCCCTTCAGAACATGAAATTTCAGTTGTGTGTGTAATGTATTAATTATCTGTGTTGTGTGAGGTTAAGAAAAAGTGGTTCATTTATTATGATGCAGACAGGTGCTCATGTGTTGGAATACATTTTGACATAATATGTCTTTTAGGGATGTCTAATGGGAAGAATTTATCTCATGCTTGCCCTTTTTAATAAATTCTTTCACAGAACACTTCAGGTCAACGAGCTTTTTATGTTTGTCTCTGCAAGATATTTTATTATATTACTGTAGTATATGGAAAACATTTCTTTTTTTAGCAGTCATTGGCTTGGTAGAGTTTCAAATAATTACAGTGCTTGACTGTATGAACACACCCTGAAGGAATGAAGAAGATCAGGACAGAGCATGCACAGGGCAGAATATGGCTTCACAGAGAGCAGTTCATTTCAGAAAGATTTGCATACTATCCCAGCCAACTTATACTGCCCCCACTGCCAACTGTCACACCATGAAATGGCCCTGTGCAAAAATATCTCTCTGGTCTGTAGACTGCTTACTGAAGAGCAGGTTTGTCCCCTAAGATCAATGGTGGTCTCTGCTGACGTGAGGCTAACTTGCCTCTGCATTTAAAACTCCCACATTTCAGAACAACTGGAGATTGTTGCAACCTAATGTTGTAATGTTTTTAAACTTTTTATTTAGTTTTATATTTTTGTGATGAAATTGTGGGAACAGGTAAGTTTTACTGTTTTATTCCACACTTCTTATTCCTAAACTATTTCATTTATCACACACACACACACACACAGTTTGTTACACAACTCACCTTTGTCACTTTGTGATTTATACTATTCTACTGTTTTCTCTAACATTGCATATTTAATCTAAGTCACCTTGATTCTTTCAGAACTTCAAATACTACAACAGCCTCCGTCATGGTGATTTGTCTATTGTTTACACCTTTCAGCTATTCTCCACATGTGTTTTGCGGTAAAAAAGGGTTTATCAATCAATGACTTTTGTACGTGTTTCACCTCAGTGATGTAGTGGTAGTTGATAAGGTGGGTGTAGGTAGATGAGTAGGTTACCAAGGAGGAAGTGGATATTCTCTCCTGTATGTTCCCATGGGTTTTTGGCTGAGAGCCAGGTATACTGTAAACAGTGATTATAAGAGGTGGGTAAACCTGCTTGTACCGTCCAGTGCACCACTGCTCATGCTTTCATGCAGAACATCAGTGAAACTACAATGAGTGGTGAAATTTGTGGAAAAGTTGCGCGGATTGGAAAAAATTGCAGAGTCTTGCAGAATTTATAGGCATTAATTGAATTTGCATTAGTTGTTGCGATTGCAACATTCCAGAGGTATGGAGCCAGATCAGTCTCATAATGAATGAACTCACGCAGGGTTTTTCACGAATGCACATGTTCTGGTTCACAGTTGTATTTCGGACTCACTAATGCACACGATCTGTTTCACAAATGCACACACCCTGGTTCACAAATATAATGTTTATGCAAAATTGTAATATAAATTCGGAAATGCACAAGCTCTGCTTCACAAATATTATTTTGAGGCACACTTGTAATATAAATTCACAGATCATGCGAATTGCTGAATGTGCATTTACAAACTGCTTCTCATTTGTGAACCTCTCCACATTTGTGAGAGAAATCTGTGTGGTGAATTTTGAGACTCCCCTGACGTCGCAGGTCAACGAACGTCACCATTGGCTGATAAATCTTTCAATCAAATTTATGATTCTGATTGACAGATTCATCAGTCAATCAGGTGTGTTTGCTTTCAGACAATCATATGGCTCCTTACATTTTTTCCACACTTTTAAACCAATCGCAGAGCTACTGAGCTACTGTTTGCAGTGTTCAAACAAGACACGCTAGACTGAAACGGTGGAAGAGACATGGATCAATCTCAACCTGTAAGTAACACATTTATCTTATTATCCCCTCGTTGTGAATCATGCAATGTTATTGAATTATAATGAGTTGAAGCATTCTGCTTAGCCAAGTAACATGTTTGAATGAAAGTATGGAGAAAATGTAAGGAGCCATACGATTGGCTGAAAGCGAACACACCTGATTGACTGATGAATGACGATGATGACGTTCGTTGACCTGCGATGTCAGGGGAGTCTCAAAATTCACCACACAGATTTCTCTCACAAATGTGGAGAGGTTCACAAATGAGAAGCAGTTTGTAAATGCACATTCAGCGATTTGCATGATCTGTGAATTTATATTACAAGTTTGTCAGATGAGTCCGAAATACAACTGCAAACCAGAACATGTGCATTCGTGAAAAACCCTGCGTGAGTTCATTCATTATGAGACTGATCTGACCCCATACAGAGGTGCTGATTTTTTAACAAATCACAAGTATTGCTACATTTTAAGTCACATTACAGAGCAAAAGCAGAACAAAGGAGATAAACCAGCAGCTGCAGCAGAGAAGACGCCGATGGTATGTCTGTGGAAGGGTAGAGCTCCAAAGAGGTGACACCCTGGGAAACAAACATGTTCTAAAAGTGTACATTTGCTGGTTGAGAGTCAGTAGGTGTAAGAGGTGCAATCACAATAATAATCGCATAATGTTCTAACACTGTTATAACTAAACATTCTAAGAAGGTTGTCACCAAACATTTTTAGGATGTTTTTAGAGAACGTTATCCTAGAATGTTGTAGGAACAAAAAAAAAACTTCCCGTTGAAAACATTATCAGAACATTATATGTAACATTTGCAGAATGTTTTTAGAACAAAAAAATCTAGCTGGGATGTTGCATTAATTCAAATGGTCACCATCAAAGATATCCTCTACTAATTTTATCTGATACATGCAGTATTCTGACATTATCCATAATCATTTCTTGTTGTGTTAAATGTGGAATACGGTGACAGAGAACAGAACAGAACTGGGTCGCAGTCATAATGCGGCTAAGCTGCACCCAGTGGAATCCAGGGGTTAGGTCAACATGGAGAATTTGTCCCAGAGGTGCACAGAATCAAGAACAAGTTGAATAACAATAGGTACACAGGACATGAGTAAGCTCAATATGCTGATGAGGTCTGTATGAAATGATCAATAGCTCCAGAACAAGCATAAGTGGAAATTGTTTGGCCATCACAATATGCTTTGGAAAATGGTCAGCAGTTTTGTCGACCCATCTAGCTACCCCAACTTGATCCGTGACCTGAGTCATGATTCCTTTTGTCACTTAAATGTTCTGACATATTTGCTAAAACAACTGATGCTGTCATTCTTCTTGTGAGAGCAGTGTTGAAAATCCAGAACTGGAACCTGCCTTGCATTTGTATACCATACAATTTTTGACATACAGTAGAGACCTGAGGTGTTGACAGACATGATGTTCCAAGAGCAGAACAACAACACACGAGTCAAAACAGAGGGATGTCATGGTCTGTAAAATGGTGTTTGTGACAAGATAATAGCACGTTGCGTAAAACTGTCAGGGAGAGGTGAACAATAATCTGCAGACATCAGGCTTTACAACCTAAAGCAATGATCCCAAACACTATCCTCAGGGCCTTTAAGACAGAGATGTTGTTTGTGAATGCTCTGGGACAGTGCATTGCAATCTTTTTGGCTTATCACCCCTCAAACAAAGTCATGTCTTCTTGCAACACACTAGGTTTAATCCTGTTTTAATTAATTGAATTAATGGAAGCCTGAAGAAGGGGGAAAAGGTATTTTTGGGCCTTTTAAGCAAGGCTGTAGTCTAATTTAGATTTAGATTTATAAATAACTTAACTATGATAAATGATAAAATCTGCATCCCCTGCTTCCATATATTTGTCAGCTGTGTCTTAACAGAGAGTCACACACACACACACACACACACACACACACACACACACACACACACACACACGCAATTACCAGCGGACAGAGACAGAGCTCTACATGTGATTTAAACAGAGCGCAGAGCAGAATTGCTTGCTGACCAGCATGGAGAACCACTTCCACATCCAGTGTTCAGAGGCCCACTGGCAGTACTACAAAAGGACTGGAAGCTACCTTATGCCCTTATGCCTTGATGATTAAGTGTTAACCCTGTTCAAGACAGGCCTCATCATGTAAGTCAAATACAACTTTTAGACATTGTACTGTTTTTTTTGCAGAGAATGCCATAACCAAGCTTGCCACCTGTCCTCTTCCTCGAATGGAGGATTGCGTGGTTCAAATTGGTTCTGCAAAATTTGTAAGTAAATTTGACTTCCTTAAATCTTACATGGTCATGCCATTTGGTTTGAGAAATGCATCTGTCACTTTCCAACACTTAATGAACCAGGTGGTTTCTGAGCTCCAAAGGTGCACTGTGTATATAGATGATGTAGTTCTGTGTAGTGACAAGCTGCCAGAACATTTGCAGCCCATCCAGGCACCTTTTGATGCCTGGCCTGAGAAAAACTTCCCCATGAACTTGGGAAAGTTTAAGTTTGCTAAGACCACAGTGACATACCTGGGTAAGGTGGATGGGCAGGGTTAAGTGTGTCCTGTAATAGCAAATGTTGTGGCCATTGAGAAGTTTCCCCCACCCACTACAAAAAGGAAGCTCATCCAATTTCTTGCAATAGAAGGTTATTACCAAGGGTTTTGTAAAAATGAATTCGGTCAGGGAAGTTTCATTGGTCAGATCATTGTCAGAAAGCTTTTGATGATATCAAAGCTCTTCTTACTAGTGTGCCAGTGCATGCAGTCCCACATCTTGTAGAGCTGTTTCAGCTCAAAGTGAATGCCATTTATTTGATCCCACTATACGTGTTCCAGTGATGTGTTTTTGCAAGATGCAGCTAGTATTGACAGACTAGTCAGTTACCTCTCACTAGTTTAACCCCTTCCAGTTGAAATATTCAATTGTAGAGGGACTTGCACTGGTTTGGGATTTGCTGTACTTTGAGGTGTACATAGGTAGTGGTTGTTGGCCTTTAATGGTGTACACTGATCATAATAGCCTCATGTTTCTCCGCTAATTACAGAACCTGAACCAGGCTTTGATGAGATGGTGCCTGTTTTTACAGCCTTTTCATGTGATATCTGGCACCTTACTTAAAACATTACCTCAAAGTGTTTATGGTTCCTTTTTTCATCTGTTTCCATGTTTCCTTCTCCTATCTCTTAAAATGACGTCTTAGGGTCCATATTGCCAAGTTGGAGATGGTGAGCTGAGCATTATGCAGTGGTAGATGAGGCAC